ACACACACACACACACACACACACACACACACACACACACACACACACACAAAAGAATGAGTATATTTACATAATACATTTTACGTGCGTAAAAAGTTAATAATCTTCAACTTTCTGTGGAGGAGCGAAAGAGGCGTGATACAAAACACACTGAGCTCATTTTGGGTGGTAGATTCATACTAAGCTGGCGGTTGACAAATAACAAACACTCCCGACAACGGTTGCAAATAATTTTAATGTTTTACACCCTTTATACACACCCCTACCCCCCTCGCCAATCGACACATTATAGATCAATTAGGGGGTGGACCGCTTTGACCTTGTTTACCAGGGCTAACCCGGGATGAGTGGGACAGAGCACCCAAGCAAACAGTCTGAATACGAGTAAAAAGAAACGCATGGACGCAATAACGGTCACTTAGCGCATGGAAAAGGCAAGACGTACATGCAAAAACAACAGAGGGAAAGAATGGAAGGAGGAACTACCAGTGGCGCCCACTAACTACCCTATCAGTATATAGACAGACAGAGATTCCATGAAATCACTTCCAGCAGTAGGAATTGAACTCAAGTCTTATGCATGTACCATCAGGGCGAAGAGTCAAAATGTTATACCACGGTGCGTAGTGTAGTGCCTACACAAGAGACAGTTCTTGTTTGTTCTAGTTGAGGTTTTACTGCGCTCGCAACAACATAAAGTCATATGAGCGCCTGAAGATTAGAGATGTTACAAAAGAGTAACAAACATAAAAAAAGAAAAAGGGGAGATAAAGACGATAGATGTTTGATAGGAAAGAAGAAGCAAACCACACCAAAGCACCCGTCAACCACCCAACTCTTCTGCAACATCACAGCGACGAGCTAAAATGTTATGCCACAGTGTGTAGTAGTGCGTACACAAGAGACAGTTGTAATGAGCACAGATACATGGTACATGTACATTGTATTAACAACATAACACCCAACACCCTCTCCTTCTCTCATGGGATCCTGACATGAATACTAATGTCCATACATACACGCATTCACGGGGGGAAGCTCGGATACACAGGATCAATAGATGGATGGCGCTCGGCATAAGATAAGGATCAGATAAAAGGGGCTGGTGATCGAGA